TTACAATGTCATGCCCTGCTGTCTTGACAACAAGGGCGCAACGTACCAACGGCTCGTCAACCGGATGTTTGCTAAATACATCGGCGGCATCATGGAGGTATATGTCGACGACATGTTGGTGAAAAGCCGAACGGTCGGGGGGCACCTGGAAAACTTGGCCCTCATGTTCGGTATTCTAAAGGATTACCGAATGAGGCTAAACCCGGCGAAGTGCGCCTTCGGTGTATCTTCCGGTAAATTTCTAGGGTTCATGATCAGTCAAAGGGGAATCGAGGACAATCCCGAGAAAATCAAAGCCATAGTCGACATGGAGACGCCGAAAACGCAAAAGGACATTCAGAGCCTTACCGGACGTGTCGCTGCCCTGACATGCTTCATCTCCAAGGCTATCGATAAATGCGTGCCGTTCTTCAAAGCTTTGAAAGGGGGCAAACATCATATAACATGGACTCCCGAATGCGACCCGGCATTTCAAAACTTGAAGAACTACATGAGCCAGGCACCACTGTTATCAAAACCGTTCCCAGGCGAGGTACTACTCCTATACCTTTCGGTATCCATTACTGCCGTTAGCTTAGTGTTGATAAGGAAGCCGGAGAAGGTGGAGCTACCGATCTTTTATGTCAGCAAGGCGCTCCAGAGCGCAGAGCTTCGGTACCCACCCTTGGAGCAGCTAGCACTGGCCCTGGTCGTCTCGGCGCGAAGACTTCGCCCTTACTTCCAGGCTCACGGGATCACAGTTCTGACGAACCAGCCTCTCTGGCAGGTGCTCCAAAAGCCGAAAACATCTGGCCGATTGGTCAAATGGGCAATCGAGTTGGGAGAGTTTGACATACAGTTCAAGCCAAGGCCTGCAGAAAAAGGCCAAGCCGTTGCCGACTTCATCTCCGAGCTCACACCTCCTGCCCTATCGGAACCATCATCGCCGAGCGCCGTACCTGCCGCACCAGAGAAAATGGATACCGAACGTCTCGACACTTCTTCTCCTGTCTTGATCCTGCATGTGGACGGCTCGGCAAACCAGCAAGGCTGTGGTGCCGGCTTAGTGTTAACCACTCCGGATGGTAGCAAAATTGAGTACGCCCTCCGATTCAACTTTCGGACCTCCAATAACGAGGCAGAATATGAGGCCCTCCTGGCTGGCCTTCGGCTAGCCCAAAGTATGAGCGTAAGGCAGATCAGCATTCACAGCGACTCCCAGCTCATAGTAAATCAGATAACGGCAGACTTCGCAGCAAAGGACGCCTCCATGTCAGCCTACCTATCGGCAGCTCACCAACTACTACAAAAATTCCAGGCCTACGAGATACGGCAGATCCCCAGATCGGAGAACAACCATGCCGACGCGCTCTCACGATTGGCCTCGGCAATAAATGACAAGATCGGAAGGAAGGTACCGGTGGAGATATTATCCCGACCGAGTACAACCGCCGCTGAGGTATGTACCGTTCGGTACGAGGACACATGTATGTCTCCAATCTATGCCTACCTGACAGCCGGAACCCTTCCTACCGATAAGTCCCAAGCTCGGAAACTTCGCTACCGATCGGCAAGGTACACGGTCATCAACGATGGTCTGGACAAACGGGAAGACGCCGTATTTAAAATGCCTGACCAAGGAGCAGGGGGACTACATCCTTCGGGAGGTCCACAGCGGAATTTGCGGTGACCATTCTGGATCCTGATCGCTCGCACACAAGGTCTTCCGGCAGGGTTATTTCTGGCCGACTCTGCACCAGGATGCGAACACACTAGTCAGGAAATGTGACAAATGCCAGCGGTTCGGTAGTATCCCTCATATCCCTGCCGAACCGCTGTCACCGATCGTAAGCCCGTGGCCGTTCGTCCAGTGGGGACTAGATCTAATTGGTCCGATGCCAGAAGGCAAGGGTCAGGTCAAATACGCTGTTGTTGCCGTGGATTACTTCACCAAATGGGTAGAAGCCAAAGCCCTAGCGACAATAACGGCGGCCAGAGTCGAAGATTTCGTTTGGACGAATATTTGCTGCCGATTCGGCATCCCCTACGCCATCGTCACGGATAACGGCAGGCAGTTTGACTCGGAAGTCTTTTGGGAATTCTGCACCCGACTCAAGATCAACCTGTTCTTTGCTTCGCCAGCACACCCCCAATCGAACGGACAGGTCAAAGCCATGAACAAAATTGTCAAGAAGCTGTTGAAACGACAGCTTGACAAAGCAAAAGGAGCCTGGCCGGAAAAGCTTCCAGAGGCGCTATGGGCCATCCGGACATCCTACCGAACGGCAACTGGGGAAACACCATTCTCTATGGCTTTCGGTTCAGAGGCAGTAGTCCCAGTGGAAATTGGAGAGCCTTCCTACCGAACGGAAACCTTCGCACCGAAGGTGAACGAGGAAGCGCTTGCTTTAAGCGTCGACTTACTCGAAGAACGCCGAGCACAAGCCAACCTTCGGAACGAAGCTTACAAGCAACGCGTCTCTCGGTACTATGACTCCAGGGTCAGATCCCATTCTTTCCGAATCGGAGATTGGGTCATGCGGAAAGTCTCTCTGGCAACCAAGAATCCCACGGAAGGAACCCTCGGACCTTCCTGGGAGGGACCCTACGAAATCATCGGTATCCAGCGATCGGGGACTTATCGACTTAGAGACTCCAACGGAAAGACCCTCGGTCATCCTTGGAATGTAGAGCATTTGAAGTATTATTTCAAATGAAGGCGGGGTCATGGGGGGTCCCAAGAGCCTCCGGTATCTCTGCAAGCACAGCCTTCGGCATTATAGCGTTTCCTAGCCAACGGCGGGGTCTAAATTGTAAAACGCACTCAAAATTGTACTTTTGCCTTCGGCAGTATATCAATGAAAGGGCCTTCGGCTCATGTATTCGGAACCTTTGTTGTGTACCGATTAAGGGACAACGTGGACTTTATTGACCTTTATTGGCTTTCGGTAATTACGGGCCGTTGCTTTGCCATCGGCAAGCACGCCTAATGGTTTCAAATCCTTAACACTAGGAACTTTTGCTTGAAAGGAAATGTTATTGGCCAACGGCCAGTGACCTTTGTTTAGTAGCCTTCGGCATTAAACAGAAAAGTAAAAAAAAACTCCTAAGTACGTTACCGATTCATAAGAAAGATGCAACTAACTTAAAGTGAAAACATAACTTTAAATTGAAAGATGCCAACGGCATCAGAGTTGTAACAGAATTACAAAAATGCCTACGGCATCAAAATTAAATTAAA